CTTCTCCAATCTGAGCTTTAAAATATCAGCGATGGTTTTCGGTCAGTGTTGTTTGTTTGCACTTCGTCCATATTCCTTGTTTATATTTTCAGTGGCATTTTCTGGGCTTCAAATTATTCCAGATTTTTTTCAAAGTAATATTTTGAAAACACGTAACATTAAGAAATTTGTAGATTTTCTACATTTATCGAGATTTCTAAATATCTTCTGAATTCTCTAAATCTCCTGTTTCAAACTCGCCGGTTCAAATTACACTTTTTTGGTCGAAATCCCCTTTTAAAAAATCAGTTGTTGATCTCATCTGGAGCTGTCTACAATTTACACTCATATTTTTTAAAAAAATCAGTTTTTGAAAATCTTCTTTCTACACACAAAGCAATGATTTCAAATCCTTCTGAAATTCGTTTTCAGAAAGCCTATCATCGAACGAGAACTCATATTTTGTCAGGATAATCGAAAAAGCGACATATCTTCTCTATTTTCTAATCGGTAGTTTATATTTTTCTATCCCGTCCAAGTGTGTGGGTGACATGACTAAGAACTTCCGGATGCTGTCAGAGAGGTGTAAAGAAATAACTTATTCATTGATTTTTCAGAACCAATTTAATCAAAACACACATAATGGGAAACTCGTTACGGGCAGGATTGAGCACGAGTAAAAAAAAAAGAAATAGGGAAGAGACATTTGGGAAAGATAGTGACCGGTTTAAAAATTGAGAATTTTTGATAAAAAAGAGTTTTAAAAAATTATAGAGGTACAGATAATCTGGCATTTGTTACAGATACTTTTTTACAAATTGAAGTATTACAAGAATTTGTGGACACTTTCTGATAGTCTCCTTTAGATCCTCCTTCTCTCGGCGATTTTCTTTCCAAACTTGCACTCGTTCCAATTTCTGACTTGGCACTTCTAGCTGAACTTTTCGATGCTCTGGATGCTTTCGATCCTTTTGAAGATCTATCGGATCGATTATCCACGGATACATTGTGTCGACTTCTCATTGACATTCGTTCTTCTTCTATCCAATACATAAAATCCGCTCGAAGCTTTCTCGTATCAGAGTGAGCCATCCAAGTGATAACTGCCCAAAGACCATATGCTACAAGGAATCCAAGGCCGACGTACATGTTTCGAAGTTGCAGTTTCGTTGTTTCTTTTTCGTTGATTGAGCCGAGAGTGTTGAGTCTCCAATACATGAATAGTGAGAAGAATACGAAGAGGAGCAGGAAGATCTGGAAAAATTATTTGGTCTTAATTATGGTCGTGAAAGAATGCTATATAATTGTTTTCAAAAGGTTTCTTAAAGAGGCAAAGTCTGAGAATGGTGTGTGACAGTATTTAGAGTACAGGGTGGTGCATAATTGCCCGGACTAAAGTTTGCACTAGCATAACATTTGAGTAAAGGATCGAGCTAAAATTCGGAGTGCAAAAACTCGAATATTTCATCAGTAAACTGGTCAAGTTTCGAATTATTTTATCAACTTTAAGCTGAGTTATCGCTTGTCAAAGTTGCTTCATCTCATGAAAAACACAACGCAAGAAACATTGCGCAGTTCATCTGGGACAATCATAAAAATACCTAGACTTGAGGAATCGCTTCGAAAATTTAAGTAGCTTTGAATGAAACGTAAAATTATATTTCTTTCATTTTTCGTGATTCCAAGAAGATACTGATGTCAAAAGATATACCCGTTTTTATTAGTCCGGGTGGATGTGCGCCACGTTGTACTGATTGCAAATCTGATTGCAAAACTTTCATGCTTGTTAGGATTGGGTAGTGATTTTCTCATGATTCCCACACACTTGAATGACAATTCCCTTTTGTAACAGTGGTGAAAAATACTCACCGAACTAGTGATAATGTCCACAATCAACGGCTTCATGAACTTGGCTCTGCACGAGTAAATTCCATAAAGTGAGAAGCAAGTGAACATGACATGTAATAGTGTAGTCAGTACAACTGCAAAATATTCAGATATTTTGAGATTCTCACTTTTTTTATTCCTTTAAGTTCTCTCAAAATGAAGTACCGTAAAACCTCTAATACAAGGGCTTGTCAAGTTTGAGTTGATTTTTCTCGGTTCCTACGCAAGGTATCAAAGATGTATCAACTGATAAAATGTTTTTGATATTATCATAAACAATTTATCAGTTTTCAACTTTTTCATATATCAAACAGGAACTAGGATAAATTGACTCAAAGTTAAAAGTTAGGGGGCTCTCCTATTACAGGTTATACAGAGATTGGAGTTAAAAAAATCTCACCACATCCATAAATATAAGCTTTTATCCGATGATCAGACGACTTCAAATGATGAACGATCAAATCGATCAATACAAAACGAAGGTGTTCAGGTAGCTGAGAATTAATCTGAAGAAACGATTCCATTTGTGAGATGACGTTGACAATCATTGTAGGATTGATGAAGATGAAGAGCACTGCGAAGAATGCCGACAGAATGCGCATCTCACTTCATAGCTGACAATGCTGTGCTGCAAAAATGAATGAAAATCAATGACGGGAATGAAGAGTTTAGAAAGAGGAAGTATAAGATCAGAGAGAATATTCCAGAAAAGTAAACAAGAGAGAACATCTGGCTATCAAACTGACTGTCAAGAATGAATGAGAAAACTGAAAGGATGTGACTATCAAGAAGGAAGAAACCTTTGGAAAAATGTCAATCACCACCCAAATGTTTGTTATTGTGCTTTTCAAAAAATACGAGAGCTTTCCGGTGTTATCTACGCAAAAGGTTGAGATGTCGTCAAAAATCGCCCTCCCTCCAATGGTTCTTTGGGCCTTGGGAGGCGGAGTCCTTCTTTCGTTGTGAAGCTGTGGGAGAAAAAAAAACGGGGACGACAACCGACGAAGTGGAGGGATTATAATCAAATCTTCGTGTCCACTTTGAAGTGCGTCATAAAGCGGGACCGAGAGAGCGGCTTATGCCCTATATTAGACACCTTCGAAAACTTGGAAAAGCGGAAAGACATAGAGTAGGCTTGCAGCATGTTGTGACGCCACATTTTTACTTGATACATTTCGACAATTTTTGAAAATCGGGGTGATTCAGGAAATGATCCAGGTCATAATCCCTTGAAATTAAGTAAGTGAGACTGGAAAAATTTGGGGATTTTTTTCAGGAAGCAATTGCAATTTGTTGATGCGTAATCAGCTAGACTAGACAAATTAAAATTGAAGGGATTCAATTGAAAAGGTGTTCTAAAGGATAATAAAGGACCGGGTGCAAAGATAAAGGGCTCTGACAAGGGCTTTGAAGAAGGATTTGAAATATCAAATTTATGGTTAAAGTTTGAGTTTCTTATTTAGGAGCAGGTACCGTAAAACCTGTATAAGAAGGGCCCGCTAACGCTTTCCATTGAGCCAGTTTTTATTTTTCCTGCCAAAAATATAAAATGGTTATTAACTGACAAATTTTCAAGCATATCATATTAGCAGTGATATTAAGTATCTTCTGTATTTCGCTACAGGGACCTGCCGAAAAACCTCTAATAAAATGGCTTCCTCACTGTCAAGTTTCAGCTCAATTACCGTAAAAACTCTAACATACCTTCCCCCAGCTAGGCATTGAAAAATAGAACGCCACCCTCCAATTGAATGCCACCCCTGAAAGAATTTTACCTCAAAAAATAATTTACGATTCACCAGGTTATTAATCTTTGGTTCTTTAGAGAGGGTTAAGACATTGTTCAGTACGCAAGTAGATGGTTTTTTTAAAACTTTTTCCTGATTATTTCCCACTTTTCGCCTTTTCTGAAGGTATTTTGGGCATATTAAGAATCTTCGCGAAATTTTTTTTGTTATTGAATAATAGAATGCCACCCTCTAATAGAACTTTTCCCCAGCTATACATTGAAAAATAGAACGTCATGGTATTAAATTAGAGTTTTTACGGTATCTCAATTTTTGAGGAGATATAAAAAATGGGTCAACTGATAAAACACTTCTGATGTTATGATAAACACTTCGCTAGTTGATAACTTTTGGATATTTTTTACAAAAACCGATTTGGACTCAAAACTGAGCGGCCATCTATTAAAGTGTTATAGTACCTATTTCATATGAGACAAGCGAAAATCTGGTTGCAAAAACATTATAAGACGAAGTTGTTAGGATTTAGCAAACAACTCGAAAACAATTGAACACCTGGAGCTAGATTTTGAATCTGAGTCAAAGTGTCAGGATTGCAATTTTCAGATCGGAGCGAGTCACTTAGATTTGATTATACTACATCTAAATGTCACGACATCATTTGTTGTTCTGAATGACTGAAACCTCTCACACGTGGATTTTCAACTGAAAACACAACAACAACTAATCCGTTTGTCCTATGCCCTCTCTTCTATCCTCCCCCAATCCATAATAACTTTTTTTCCTATGACGAACTTTTTGGGGGGACATGTGGATGGACATCCACACGTGTCTCCAAGGATTCAAACAAAAAGTTGTGACGCCAGCAGCAGCGACTGAAACTAACAAAAATGTTAATACCATTCTGGAAAAGAGATAGGATGGGAGATGTAAACAAAATTAAATGAGTGGAGTAAACATTATTTGATATGATCGGATGATGCTTACTAAATAGAGGGGAACAATATTTTATAGCTGGGTGGAAATGAAAACTTCGACAAAAAATTGTGTATTTTGCTAAAAAACAACTTCAGCATACCAGTTTGGAATAAAATCTTTAAAGGGGGATTCCGAAATAAATGACTCTAGGATTATAAAAATAAATGACTCTAGGAACATTTAAGTGCAAAAAATCACAATAAACTATTTTGGTCGGATTCCCCCTTTATAAAAAACTATTACAATACAATTGATTTTGCCTTAACGTTAGCAAATATAACAAAGTTAAGTTACATGTGATAAATAATTGGGATCAGCTCAGTAGGTTGTTTGATTTAACCAGTTACAAAAAATTCATAATGCCGCGAACTATCCAATTTTCAAAAATAGACTCACCTTAAATGCTCTAATACAAGCCTACCATTTAGGCAAAATTTTCTCGGTTCCTGTCAAAGATATCAAATTTTGTCAACTGATAAAATGTTTATCATGATTTTATTACTTCACATTTTATCACTTCAAAAATTTTTGATATTTTTCATAGGAACAGCGATAAATGCGTTAAAAACAGGGTGGACACTTAGTAGTCGTTTGATTTTCTTGTTTTCATTTTTTAGACTAATATCCAAAAATAGCTACAGTCCCATTTCATAGAAAAACAACTGAATTTTAAGAATAAGCAAAAAATTCAAAAGGTCTTCTTCCCTGTAACATCATCCCCTATTTTTTTTCTGAACTGAATAAAGGAAATGACGTTGTGAGATATGCTGAGCTACTTTCTACACTTTTCCAAAGAATCTAACGTGGTGAATCTGACACTTTTCTCTCTAATGTGCACTATTTCTGTCACCAAGGATTGGATAGCCGATATATACGCGAAATGGAAATTTCTCAAATATAGAAACTAAAAAATGGGGAAAGGAAATGCAAGGAAATTGCAAGAATCGGAAAAGGGGAAAAAATAGAGGATATGAGGATTTATATATGATTAAAAAATATAGTTGGAATATTTATATTTGATGTGCACTTGATGTGAAAATTTGCATTTGATATTGAGCTTTTACCTTTGGAGTTTTTTTCTCGCTCAATGAAGCAGGAATAAGAGGGAAAACACTGAATGATACTGGATGGGAAAAGTGAGGGGGAATACATAGAGAAGGATGGGATGGGATTATGCAAAATCTGAAAATCTGAGTGAGAGAAAAGACACACAAGCAATAGTCGGTGTGAAAAGACTCCCCACCGCGATTATTTTTAGTAGATTGGCAAAGAGAATATGATAATCTTTTGGCGGAGAGGCTTCTCTCAATCCTTTTGGGAAATATTTTCGAACACCTTTCTGTTAGATTAGATCGGAATGTTCGGGAAGTTTCTGGGATAAAAGTAGATATGAACAGATTTGGGTTAATCTGGTTTCTAAAAAATATTATCTAAAGTTTTTTTTGAAATCAACAAAGCTTATTTTAAAACCCAAATATCCAAACAGCAAATCGATTCTTTAATGTCTCAAACTTCGGTTCCTGATACCTCCATTGAAAAATGGAATGTTAATTGTTTGATACCAATCAGTTTGCTCCCCCCCCCCATAAGAATTTCAGAAATTCTAATTCGGAAACTCAAAATTTTTGTGATTTCTAAATTCAATATTTCGGAAATTCAGCATTTTGAGAATTTGGAAAGTCGGAAATAAGAAAATCCTGGAATTCGAAAAGTAAACATTGAGAAGTTCAGAGATTAGCAACTTTTAAAAAATCGGAAGTTCGAAACATTTAAATTGAAAGTTCAGTTTTCACTTCCCGAAATTCTGAGTGTATGATATTTTGTAATTCAGTAGTTTTCAATTTTCAGAAATTTGAAAATTCAGAATTTTGAAAGTTGAGGAATCAAGAAACTCCAAACCCATGCAATACATGTAGGTTCGGAAACTCTGAAATTCTAAAATATAGCTTTAGCTAATATCTAAATATCTGAATTAAGAATTTTTAAAATCCCAAGATTTTAAGTTTCCGAATCACCCGATTTAGATTTTCTGAAATTCCAAAGCCCGAACTTCAGGATTTTCCGAATTTCTGAAAGTTTGATGCTATTTTGTCAATTTTTAATTCTTAGACATATCTGGGAATCGAGAAATTATGCTCAAAGTGGGGAAGGTTTTTTCGGCACTCTTCTAGAATCACGGAACGAAAAAAAAATCACGGAACGAAAATTTTGGGTGATCCAAAAATTGCTATTTTCTTCAATTTGACAAGTAGTATCCGTAATACTAAATTTGACATCAATTTTACTTTGTCCAATACCCAAAAGTATACTAAAAAAGGGTTTATCAATTTCTTAAGATACGCTAGTTAACAGGTTACATAAGACCTGTAGAACACCTGAAAATTCAGTTTAAAGCTACATCAAGCAGTTATTGAGCTTGCTGACATTTTAGGGTGTTCCAGATAAAAGAAGCATGGCGTTTCAGCCTAAGCCTGTGATTGAAGAAAGCTCCCTCAATCCAAAAATATCATCCAATTTTTGAAAAATGAGAAATCCGAGACAAGAAGTTTCATGCCAAGATTTCTACTCAATTTGGCCCAAGGCTATTCTTATTCCAGACCAACATTTTGTTCCAAGAAAACTAATTTTTTTAAAATAAGATTTCTTCAATTATAGACTTAGGCTGAATCATCGTGTTTCCTTCATGTGGTACACCCAAAAAACGACGGCAAGTTTAATAACTCTGCTCGTTGCAGCCTCTAATCTAATTCCCATATGTCCCATTATCCCCAGAACATCTGGGAAAGGTCCATGTACACTATCAACTAGTTTACCTTAAGGACTCAATATACCACATTTCGGGTGTCATTTTGGACACTGAGCAAAGAAAATGTAATGTCAAGGTTAGATCTCAGGATAGTACTTGAATGAAGGTCCTAGCAATTTTTGGATTACCCAAAATTATCGTTCCGTGATTTTATTTTTCGTTCCGTGATTTTATTTTTCGTTCCGTGATTTTTTTTTCGTTCCGTGATTCTAGAAGAGTGCCGTTTTTTTTAGCTACGAAAATCGAAACATCGTAATTTTCTTTGTTCTTCGATTTTCAGCAATAACAAACACCTTGTGAACACTTCATTCCATAGCACTTGACTCTGAAATAATTTCAGTGAATTATTTTCTGAATCAGTTTTTCAAGTCTGCATATCAATGTGACAACTTGATTATTGGTGTCATATCCAGCGAGCGAGAAGCACAGAAATCACTAAATCAAGTTATGAATAGCCCCAAAATTACTCTTTCCCCTTCCAATTCGTTTATTCCTGCCTACTGGCTACTATAGTCTGTTTTGTTTGACACACAAAAATATGTCGGTTTACGGATTTCACCCAATTGACGGACTTTTGGAATATTATAATTTCTCCTACTCTTTCAATGTTCTTACTGTATTCACTGTAATCACTTCGGCCTATAGCATTTTCTCATTTGGAATCACACTGAAAATGTGTCATTTTTATATCAAAAATCGAAATGGAACTGTGATGAAAAACGGATTGAGACCCGATGTATTCCGATTATTCCTTCTCATGCAATTGTGGAATGATTTTCACGTTTTCTTGGATTTCCTTGTGGTTCGCATCCCACTAACTTCAATTTTCACATCATATTGTGCCGAGTCGAAACCGGAACTTCTTCTGAAAATCCTTTCTCTTTTATTCACCGGATGTGTTTATTCTTCTCATCTTTTAACACTAGCATTTTGTGTACAGAGAGTTTTGCTCCTGTATTCTATTGAATACCAGAAAGAGGTAAGTTAAAAGGAAAACTTAAGAATTAAAAAGAACCATACTTCCAGATAATATCCAAAACATTTGATATAATCTCTCCTCTACTTATAATCATCGGCCAAAGCCTAGGAATCCCACACTTTCTTGCTACAAGTTCTTGTTTCCAAATGGGAGAACCTTTTCCGTTTGGTTCTATCGTTATCACTGCAAGTAGACGAGATATGGTGAGTACTCGGGCGTTACTGACAACTTCTGGTCAGAAGTTGGTCAGATTTCTAATGTCCACAACTAAAGCCAAACTACAAACTTATTACAAGGTTGTAGTATTTCAACCTAGTAATATCAACTTTCACCTTCTCACCTGACTACCGCCCGCCATGCAGCCGTTTTCGGCCAATTTCTGCTCCACTTCTGACCAGAAGTTACGAGCCGACAGCGGAGATAGATTAAAAAACAAAAATTTCTCAAAACCTGTATTTCAGCCAACGTATGCTATAATCTACGTAGTTTGTACAAATGTGATGATTATTCTGATCATTGCAACTACGGCTTTGATGTTTGCGAAACTTCAGCAAAAAAGAAAAATGTAAGACTCAACAGGTTCAAAAAATTTATTACATAAAACTGATTTTCAGGAGCTCGGAGCTTCACCAAAAATACAATTCAAAAGCTGAAAAAACTCTAACGGCTACAATGGTTCTCATCCTTTTACCAGTTGTCATGCCAGCAATTCTCTCGATCGTTGATATTTTCGCATACTTCCTATACCCCTATCTATTTCTGTTTCGATGTATATGTTTGGATGCTCGAGCTCATGTTGTATCTTGTTACTTTTATTTCACTCATCCTATTTTTAAGAAGTCAACGCCTTCGTATAAAATAGGTTGTGAGAGTGGAAATAAATAAATAAGGGGTGTCTGAAAATAAACTGAAAACACATAATGTCTTGAACAACAGATTCAGCAGAGCAAGGAGTAATTTTAGACAACAAAAATTAAAACAACAACCTCTGATATGATTATCATAGATCTTTAATATGATCTTTTAGAAAAGTCGGTAGAAAAAAATTGACCCAATAGTTAGCTTTGAAACTTCAAAATGTCAAAATGGTTATCTCACTGATAAAACGGGTATATCTTTAGGCATAAGTATCTTGGAAGCACAGAAATTGATAGAAATATAATTTTACCTTTGATTCCAAGCCCCTGAAAATTTCAAAGCGATTCCTCAAGGTTAGGAATTGTTCAGATTGTCCAAAGATGAACGGCGAAATATTTCTTGCACGTCGTTGTGATTTTCAAGAGAGGAAACAACTTTGACAAGCGATAACTCAACTCAAAGTTGATCAAATAATCTCAAACTTGACAAGTTTACTGATGAATTATTTGAATTTTTCTACTCCAAGTTTGAGCCCAGTACAAAGCTTTACTCAAAGGTTATTCTAGAGCGAACTTTAGTCCGGTCATTACGCGCCACCCTGATAGCATCAAACTACATACCAACTGTCTGCCTAAAACAGCCTGAATTTGTGGTCTGATCAAGTTTCAATATACATCAATTGCTCATGTATGACTAAATACATCTAGATCGTTTTCGTGCTTCACTTTTCTGATTTCCGGTACATGGGAACTTTCAAACAGTCAAGATCTCAATAAGATCAAAGATCAATAATGATTTTTTCTGGAGCTAGAGTATCAGCTGGTACTGGTGCGGCACCTGTATGCCCACAAGTTAAACTCCATGAGAGGCTTCTAAATTTTTAGATTAATAAACAAGTGAACTTCTAACTCTTCATGATTCTGGACTTTGATATGGTGCTATCAGACAAGTAACACTTTGATTCATGATGTGATCTTATGCGCATCATGTTTTACACTACGATTGCTCATTAAGAGAAAAACAACATGAACATTATGCCATCAAAATCATATACTTAATTATTTATCAGGAGCTAATGAAGTGCCACTGCATCGATTAACTAAAGCTGGGTACAGAAGGAAACAGACATAATCCCAATCAAATTTCCGGTATAGGAGGGTGAAGACTCAAAATACAAGTAACATTGTTATCACAGATATTCAGTAAAGTCCACCTCATCTTCTTCGAAGCGTGAAAATCAGAGATGTTGCCTATTGGAACCGAATTATTCATCAAAGTATCAGTCCATCAAAAATCGACATCCAATGATCACCCCCCTTATGCTTATCAAAATCTTCGGAATTTCCCTGAGTATCAAAATTTCAAATATAAATTTGACTTTTACTCAATTATTGTCATAATCACCCTCATTTATTTCATTCCCTCTCTCTATTGCACGATTAAAATGGCACTTTACTATAGGAAGACGAACAGTCAGACGAATTCGAATGGTATCCATCCGTTCGTCTTCAAGTCATTTATTCAGATGCAAATCTGGAACAGTGCCAATATAGTTTTCGATTTTCTCTTGGTACGAATACCATCTACAACCCTGGTCACTTCATTTTGTACCTCATTGCGACCTGGTAATTTTGCTCCATTTTTTGTTGCCGGTCTCTATTTCACTTTCTATTTATCTCAAATGTTCACAGTCCTATTCTGTTTCATGAGAGTTCTGATTCTATTCAGTCCAAGAAATCACAACCAGGTATTTCTAGATTTATAATTAATCACTTCTCATGAGACCAAAAAGATTTACCAGTTGTGTACGATGTCTTTCTTGTTTTGGTCTCCTGCCGCCTACGTCCTCAGTTCAGTGACGTCATTTTCTCATGTTGTTAGTGATTTGGTATGTCTGCAATTTGATGTTCCTTATCAAGACGGAGCCATCGCTATATCATCTACTTTCACATTTGGGAATGTGGGTTGAATTGTTTCGGGATATTCTGGAAACCTTTGTTTTCAGAAAGCCCTCAATTTAGCACACTTGATATTTTCAACAACTATAGTACTTGGAATCGTGACTAGTACAGTGACAATGTTAACAAAACTGCGGCATAGGAAGTTGATGTTAGAATTTTAAAAACAAATCTGATTTTAAATTGAATATTGCGGAGTTTCAGGAGTACAACATCTCGACCGTTCCATCGATCAAAAGCAGAAGCTACACTGACCATCACAATGTTTATAATTATGATTCCAGATTTTTTCGCTCAAATTCTGTCGGTATGTTGTTAAGGGGGGAATCTGACCAAATATTTTTATTGGACCAAAATGTTCCGTATTTTCCAAATTACAAAAAAAAGTTCAGAAAAAAATCCAAAACCCCAGAAAAACGCAGTTTAAAATTAAATAGGTTGCGAATAGGGACGAGGAACTGAGTTCCCGCGCAATGAAACACCTAGGTCATGGCGACAGGACGCCTTTTGCACATGGCATTTTTCTGGATCTTACTGCTTTGATCTCCGTTACGTAAAAACCCTAAAAACCGCTGTCCGTGAGGCGGTCGGCCACCGTGGCCTAGGCGCGGGAACTCAATTCCTCGACCTATAACGACCTATAACGAGCAACCTATAACTTTTTGGTCAGTGTCCTCTTTCAAAATTTTAATTATTAGGTTGTTCGGAAAGTCCTTTCCATTTTTGATCTGTTGTTTTCAAACTTCGTTTTTTCGAACGGGGTAAAAGCGAGGAAGCTGTCGTTTTATTGGTGGGGTTTAATAAAGTCTACACCCAAACGGAGATCATTCTCCACTTTCCGTGTAGTGAGATATGCCCACCGTTTTTGCCCCTAACAATTTCCATTTTCGGACTGCCATTTTATATTTGCTTCTATCTGATCTTAAATTAGCTGAAATCGATCGCCAATTAGTGGAGATTAACAACGCTGATGTACCCTTTCAAACCACTATCACAACCTGGATTCATCATTTTGAAAAAGCAGAATTCTCGTTGGACGAAAATCCCCTTTAAAAAAGGCGAACGGCTTAGGTTTGGATGCATTGAAAACCGGGATAGAAAGGGACCCGTCTCAAACTGTGCTGGATATATCAAGTAAATTAGTGGCAGCCTTTTGTGAAGAAGCCATAGATTGGAAACCCTCGGCAAAGTCAAAAAAGTGGGAAGAAATTGACAACCCCTTTTGGCTCAACGCTCGGGGGGCACCTGTTTGAATCTTGTCATCCTGCGTTGCACTCATGAATGTTGGAATCAAACCATTACTAGTGGTGATAAATGGGTAATGTATGATTACAATAAACGATATGCTATGTGGGTTGACAAAAGCGCTCAACCCGAAACGTGAAATTCGTGTTAAAAATGGGATGTTGTCGGTATGGTGGTCAACCAAGAAGTGAAGTATTGGGAGCTGCCCGATGATGGTGTCACTGTAACAACCGGGACTTATTATTGTCAGGTGACATAACGCAGACTCCATGTGTATCTCCATTGGAGAGAAACACAAAGATCAATTTTCAAATTTAAAATCCGCAACCTCATTCGGGAAGGAAGACCCAGGCCGCTCTCGGTGGATATGGCTTGACGATTCTGTTTTAGTCACTGTATAGCTCTAACCTCCTACTTTCTGACTACTATCTATCCAGCGATTTCTAACGTCATCCTGATTGACAAAAATTCACTTCAAAACAACATATCAAAAATGGGTTGCCTTGGTTTCCAACTCGCTGTGACCGGAGTTCTGGGAGGAAAACATCCACAATTTAGTGGGGCATTGGCAGATAGTCATTGATAACAATGGCCATTACCTCCAATTTACCCGACATCGTTTTAACCTTTTTTACATTCAATGTTTCCAAAAATGGAAAGGACTTTCCGAACAACCTAATAGATTATTTCATGTTTCTCTGTTTTTTCAGATAGGAAGTCTGACTGGTTGGTCATACTACTCTTACATCCTCGTCGCTCGCCCGATCCTCTTTGATTCTCGTGTGAACATCGTCTCCTGTTACTTCTACTTGACTCATCCAATTTTCAAACAAGAACCGAACTCTACTGTAACTGTTCGATCATTGAATACTACTACATACTGATTTCTGAAAATAAAAACAGTAGATTCTAAGAATCCAAAATTGAGCACATAAAATTCTGTGTAATGATTCTCCGAACATCCTATCTGAACTTGATCACTTCAGCTGTCTCGAAAAAAAAACAAGAAAATGCACAACACGGTTTTTGTCCCACGAACGCCTCTATTTTTTCCACTCCCTTCTTTCAAACTTCACTGCTTTAATTAATCAGAAAAATACTAGTCTTCTGACTCTCGCAAATTCTGGTAACTTCTTAATTTTCACGTCTACTGGTGCTTTGGAGTATTTGTAATCAACATTTTCTTGCATAATCCTGATTTTTTCCGGAGTCAGTTTTCAAAAATGAGTATACAAGATGGATTCATGTCGATTCATGGAATTTCTCAATACATTGATTTTCATTTCACTCTTAATTATACAATTCTAATTCCAACGGTTCCTTTTGTGTATATTATTCCTACGATGGTTATCATGTGGAAAGTTTATAGAGGATACCATTCTCAGTCTTCAAATTTGACAAAGTTGACACTTGATAGTCATTTATATGCAATGCTGATGTTCTATTTCGTAGCAGTAAGTAGTTGAACGTTTTCTCGTTTTTCAGGATTTTTTTCAGAACATCTCCTTCTTTTTTACCGATTTCCTACGATTCAACGTTCCAGTCTCCGGGTTGGCAACCTCGTTATGTGCTGGATTATTCCCAAATCGGTATTTCACATTGCTCATTGCAGTTGGTGACTATATGAACTACTGTATTCTTATCCTACCGTTCCTAGTATCTGTCGTCCGAATAATTATTCTTTCTGTTGCATACAACCAAAAAAAGGTTCACTACGAAAACAAGTAAAACCAAAACCAATTATTTTTCAGATTCGAGCACGTGTTATGAAGTGGTTCATCCTGCCAATTCTCTTTTTACTTCCTCTTTTCTGTGTCAGTTTCATGATCCCATCAATGGGTTACTGTAGACAATTGGGATCTCCGTTTGGATTTGGGGCAATTGATATTTATTACACACATGGATGGTTTGGGGTGAGGAAAAGGGAAGAAAAAAGAAAGCACAATTTTTATTTTTTCAGCTCCGCAGATCTTATTTTATTTTGGGTTTATCGGTTTCCTGTTGGACTCTTTCAGCTGTTCTCTCCAGTGTTATTTATTTTAAAATTCGCTCAGGATTAATGCGCGCAGGATCTATTCACACAAGGAAACTTGCCAAAAAAGCCGAATTCTCGATATCCTTAACTCTTATATCAGCTATTGTACCTTTTATCACAAACTGTATTGTTTCGGTGACAACCCTTTGGACACCAGACATTATGTTTTATTTTTCGATCCTTCGACTTGTTGGAAACGATATAGAGACTGTTTTAATGCCATGGACTCTCTATTTAACTCATCCCGTTTTTCGAGAAAAGAACGAAGATTTGAGGAATGCACAGAAAACTATTAAAATTTGGAATTTATCCCTAAGGAGTACGGTATGACGGCATAGACGCTCATTGACTCATTCGTATAGCATAGTAAATTATAGAGAGACGCTTTAAAAGCTAGACTGTTATGATTTCCTGCAATCATAATTAATTTTTTCGAAATAAAAGTTTTCATTTTCCTTTTCTCTCTTCATACAGATAATTCTCTGTTTTGAAATCGCTTCATATGGTTTTCAAATTTCAAATTAAGTTATGTCCTGCAAAATATGTGTTTTAATATTCCAAACCTTTAAAGTTCAGGAATCAAAGTATTCTCTAAACGTTGCATAAAAGATCAATCAAGAATTCATAAGAATAGTTAAAAATAAAAAAGAAAGTCTGAAGTGAGAAGTGCTGAAAATCTTAAAGCAGGAGGGAAAGGAGATTTTTTTGATGATTTTTGGAGTTACAGTATTAAATCTGACGTAACTGTGCATAGTGTTCACACAGGGCGTTGTTATCATTCCGTCTACATTTATCCTATCGTTTGGCCTTGCGCTACCGTAGCTCAGCAATAACACGGCACCTTCAGCGTTGCGTCCACAAGTTCAACTCCTCGATGGGCGTATTTAAACGAAAGTTTGAGAGGGTATTTTTTTCATGCCCCCTCACCTTTGAATTATGGAAATTTGAAGTTTTGGATACATGACTAAAGGGATTATCAGCAATTAATAGGGGCCAATGCTTAAAGTTCGTGACCAAACGCCAAACCATAACGATGGCAGAAACAGGTGAACAGGGTGTCTTGGCATGAGATGGGGTATTTTTTTCTATCTAGGGAGAGTGTTCCATTCTATCATTTACAAGAACTATGTACAGTGCGTAACATAAGTATAAAGCCACCTCAAAAACTAGCTACAACTTTCTAGAATCCCAGTTTTATGAAAATTTGAAAACAGAGGCGTAATCGGTATTTAAAATTACCTTTTTTCCTCATTGGTACTGAAGGGAAATTCCCGTTGAATATTATGTTACCCCAAAAGCGTCAGAATACCTTACTAGTTCCAGCACTCCCTCAAACTATTTAGTTCGCTATCAGCAGCTTACCGGTGCTATTCAGAATATTATTGGAAACAAAGCCACCTGCTTTTTTTTCTAATAATTTTCATTTTATTTTTAAAATTAGTTTTGGGTGTACACTCTTGTTGTCTCCTCGACTGTCGGCTCGGGACTTCTAGTCAGAAGTTGATGGAGTTCAGATTTTGGATGGACATTGGCCATATCTGGTCAGAAGTTGTTAAAAAACAATTGTATTGCGGGCCATGATCAGATGTTGGCCAGAAGTTTAAAGTTGAAATACTCCTAGGTTGGAACCTTGTCATAAGTTTGTAGTTTGGCTTTATTAGCGGTCTTATCCAAAATATGATCAATCTTTTTCTCATTGGTGTTGATGAGAGTACTATGTTATCCTAAAAACCATACTTGCTGAATCTCGGCCCGGCCCGGGTCAGCCCTAGCCCGGCCCGCGGGCCAGGCCGGGCCGGGTTCCGAAAATTTCAAATTTTTTCTGTTAATTTTTGATACAGTGTTGTCAAAATAATAATTTTAAAGCACGAAATTTATCCCATGACCCTTCTTAACCTGAAAACAATGAAATTTTGATAAAATGCTCCCAAAAATCCAATTTTCTCTCAAAAAACTCTTGAAAATTTTTCCTCAAAAACCCGGGCCCAGCCGGGCCGGGGG